TTTTTTTTTTTTTTTTTACTTTTTGGAAAAAAATGGCAAGGGCAAAAATGTCCAAAGAGGGCGGTACATAGTAATAAGGGGGGCGGTAAATAGTAATGCCCTAAAAAATTAGTTTTTTTTTAACTATAGTTAAATTTGAAAAAAGAGTAGTATGGTTAGTTGTTAGTGGATATATTAAAATAATATTTAAATTCGAATAATAAAATTGATTTGATATAAAAGTAGGAGAAAATTTTTGGAAGTGATAGTTAGTTAAAATTATGTGAGTGGGTGAATACTGAATTAAAGTTGATGTAATGTGTAATAATGATTGGTTGATATTATTTAATTATATTGATAATACTGGAGATAGTAGAGTTGAGTTAAAGTTGAATTAAATTTGAGTTTTGAGTGGGATATTTACTCTACAAATTATATACACGCCCTAAGTTTTTTGGCAAAAGAACTGAAAAGTAGCAGCGTGTGGTTTTGGGCACAACCTGGGAGCAGCACTCATATTGGTTCTTTGAGAGATAGCAACAAGTTGAAGCAACTGCGTGGTTGTCCAGAGTTACAAACTAAAAGGAGAGAAAATTCTATCCTACCAGTAATGGTAGTGCAGTGACCCATACAAAATTTGACAAGTGTCGTTTTTGTAACTATACGCACACCCTATTTTGTTATAGGCAAAACAAAAAGAAAAGGTTAAGAAAATATTTAAATAATGAGTAATCAACCGCGAGTTTCAGAACAAATAGAAACATTAGTAGAAATAATAAAGAAAATTCAATGAGAAACATTAGAAAAATTAGATCAAATAAAAGAATCAATAAAATTATTACATGATTTTTTGCTACAAAAAGAAAATGCACAAACTAATACATATAAATCAAAAAGAAGAATTAGTATCGAACCACCAACAAGTATAAATGGATGATATTATCACAGTTATTAGAAAAATGTAATATAGAAGAGACTAGAATGGCAAAAATAGATGATGAAGATAAACAGGGAATAATATATGGAATAGATAGTGAAGATGAAGATGAACCCACATTAAATATGACTGATCAAAAACCTCAGACAACACCATCATTGTCACCAAAACGACCTAGCATAAATAATAATGAAGTATCTAGTTCACAAAATAATTATGCAGAAAGAAGTTTTAAAGATTTTACATATAAAAACGACTATAGTTATAGTCAAGGAAAACTGAGAAAAAATGTACCACCTTCTTATTTAGAAAAAGAAAGACATTTGTCTAACGGAATATTAAATATAGATTGTGCAACCAATGCAGAAGATTTAATAGTCACTTGGACTAATCAACTAAAATTACTAGTTCAAACTAATGATCCAATGATAAGTGGGATGATATTATTAGATTTCTTCAATTATACAAAATACAAAACATCAGGAGTATTATTTGACTATCTAGATAACACTCAAATTCTGTTAAACCTTCAAGCTAGTGGCTCGGAAATAGGAGCAGAATATAAAATAGTAATGTTAAGAGAATGAGCAAAAGATCTGGTAAAAGAATTTTTAGGAATCACCGGTAAAGAATCGAAAGAATCACAAAAAGAAAAAATAATTAGAATTTTAACTAATATGAAATTATGTGATATATGTTATATAGAAAATTTCTTTTGTCAAGTAAGAGAAAATTTCTATAAAATCAAAGAGAGATCAGGTTTAATAGAAATAGTTGAAAGCAAACTAAAATATGAAATGAATAAGTATATTCAGAAAAAAGTAAGTGAAACGCAGGAAGAAAAAACTCTAGGAGTTTTAGAAAAATATGCAAAAGAATACAGAGATGAACTTTGTATAAGAAAAATAGAACATCATGAAATGACTAAAGTCGACACAAGATGTTGTAAACAATTAGACAGTGTACCACAAGAATATGGTTGTCATAAACCATATAGGAAGAAAAGATATTATAAATACAATAAGTTTAATATACGATATAAACCAAGAAGATATAAAACATTTAGAAAACCATGGATATCTAAATATAAAGGTAAATTTAGAAAACAAGGAAAATATTTAGGCAAACCCAAATATTGCCCTAAAGGAAAGAAGAATTGTAGATGTTGGAAATGCCAAGAAATAGGACATTATGCAAATGAATGCCCTAAAAACATACCGGAAAAAGAAAAGAAGTTAAAAATAATATTTTCTTTAGGATATGAACCGATAGAAGATGAATATGAAGAAGGTGAACTATTAGATTTCGATATATACGATCTAGAATCAGAAACAGATAGTGATATAGAATCATCAGATTCAGAAGATGAGTAAAAATAGTTCATTTATTAAAGTTAAATTATTCAATAAAACTTTATTAACATATATAGATACAGGTGCAACAATATGTTTAGCACAAGAATCTATATTACCTAGTAAATATTGGAAGAAATTAGATAAGCCAATCACGGTGAGAATTGCAAATAATAAAACAATAGGTAATGATTCTAGAGCAACAAATTTAGTATTATTAATAGAAGAAAAACGTTTTCCTTTACCAAGTCTCTATAAGCAAAATACAAGTTTACCATTAATAATTGGAAACAATTTTCTTAAGTTATATAGTCCATTTATTCAAAGATTAAACAGCATAAGTTTCAGATGTCCACAATTAGATACACAGTCTAGTAAAATGATTACTACAAAAATATATAACACATCTTCTTTTATAAAAGGGGAGATATTAAGAAAAGTTTCATTTCAAATTTATAAAATGATAAGTATAAACTTAGAAGAACAAATTAACCAACTACTAGAAAAAATATGTAGTCAAGATCCATTAGACCCAGATAAAAATACAAATAGCATGATAGTTAAAATAGAATTGATAGATCCCAATAAAGAAGTTAATGTACCAAATAGAATACCATACACAGAAAGAGATGTAAAAGAACTTCAAGAAGAAACAACTAAAATGCTTGAAAAAGGAATAACACAGTCTAGCACAAGTCCACATAGCGCACCAGCCTTCTATGTAGAAAATCATAATGAATTAAAAAGAGGAAAAAGAAGAATGGTAATAAATTATAAACAAATGAATAAAGCCACTAAAGGAGATTCATATAAACTACCCAGACAAGATTATATTTTTAGTAGAATAAGAAAGCAAAATGGTATAGTACATTAGATGCTAAATCAGGATATTGACAATTAAGGTTACATAAAGAAACTAAGCCATTAACAGCATTTAGTTGTCCACCTCAAAATCATTATGAATCAAGCACCAAGTATTTATCAAAGATTTTATGGATAACAATCTTAAAGGATTAGAATCAATAAGTCTTGCTTACATAGATGATATAATTGTTTTTACACAAGGATCAAAAGAAGAACATTTCAAAGAACTTGCAAAAGTTCTTATACAATTAGGTAACAAAGGAATTATTTTAAGCAAAGAAAAAGCAAAAATTTATAAAACATAAAC